TGTTAAATTACAAGTTTGATTCATGAAGTTTAGGATTGTCTCGTACGTCCTTTAAAAAGTGTCTAGTATGTCTTTAAACTTTCAAAATTGTGTATTATAAATTATTAGATTTAAAAAAAAATGTCTTATTAGACTCTGAATTTTTTATTTTGCATCCAATACAAATCCATGAACTTTAAAAAGTGTCTAATAAATCAATAATCTAATTATATGACGCGAAATTGAAAGTTAGACTTATTATAAATTAAAAGTTCAGAATCATTGTAACACTTTTAAATGTTTAGAAATATATTAGTACGATATTGAAAATTTCGAGATCTATTAAACACATTTTAAAGTCTAACATAACAAACACGATCTTAAAGTTCATGGACCAAACTTATGATTTAACTAAACTAATGAATAATATGAACTCTATAATTTTTGTTTTCTGTCTACAAATATGGGGGCTAAAAGGGAAATAAATAGTTCATTCCAAATGCAGGAGGGAGAAGGCACTAATTACACTTTTTTAGTTCAACAATATGTAAAATTAGATATTCAAACTTTCGACCTGTTAATTGAGGATATATGTCTTAATCAGTTGAACTATGCTAAGCTTGACTAAGTATATCGTCTTCTAAACACTCAAATCTCTCGGTTGTACTAAAAAACAAAAATAGGAAGAGAGATTTTATTTTTCTTTTTTGAGAGAAGAAACTATGTTAATAAAACAAATAAAATCGCTGTTTGGTAGCTCTCTCACGCTCTAACCAAAACAAATATGATTCGATTCTCTCTCTCTCTCAATCCCACACGCGATTTTGTTTTTATTCATTGATTTGTTTATTTTATTTTATCCGACAGATGTATGTGAATTATGAGACCAATTCAGAGGTTGGAGCAATATATATTATAATGAAAAGATGGTAATAAGACATCAAGTTGATACTTTTTAAATGCAATTTCGAAAATAGTATAAAATAAACATCTATTTTTTTTTTCCCATAATACAAAATTCTAAATTTTAAAAAAATAATTCAAGTATGCTAAAAAAGCCAAAACTTATATTATATTTGAAAAAATTGAAAAGTTGTACCCTATTTAAAATTACATGTATTTCTGGTATAAAATGATTTGTTTTCATTTAACTTAAAATGAATGATGATGAAACCAATTTAGTGTTTTTTTATAAGTAAATTGAGATTGTCTTTTATATGAATATTGTATTCAAATTTACATATGTCAAGTTGTACCTAATTGATCCATGTATTTAAAAAAGAAGTTAATAATCTAATAAACCAGAGACCTATTAGATATAAAATTAAAAAATCAATAACCTATATATTATAAACTTTTTAAAGTAGATAAACCATATACAAACAAACTTGAATGTTTATAGTATTATGAAATTTTTAAAATACATGGGCTAGATAAAAACAGTCCTAGAAATTTAAAGGCCAAACTTGTAATCCAACCTCATTTTGTTGGAAATTAATAATGTGTTTTTTGATATTTTATTTTTAATCAAGTTAAGGAAAGCGATATAATAACAATGTAAAAGTCCTTATTTTTTTACATGGGAGCAGGCATTATTTACCTCCCTAAAAGTTATATGATTCAAATTTTTTCCAAATAAATTAAAGAGAAAATCGATAGGGAAAAGAAGAGGAATTCTTATATCAAAAGAAAACCTAATAAACTAGAGAGGAAAAATGTATATATATACATATATACACAAACTGATTGAAGTAAAAGACAGAAATACCATTCTAAAAAAATATACCAATAATAAATAACAATTATTATCTAACATCCCCTTTCAAACTGACAATGAAGCTGCACAAAACATTAAGGCATTGCGTGAACCTTTATGTACAGATCAACCTGCAAAGATGAAGAAACAAATGGTAAGGTAAGAGTATCATTTTGAACAACGTTACAATCAATTTCAATATATTTGGTTCTAATATGAATAACACTCTTACTACCGCAATATAATGGTGTAGGTTCAAAAATAGGAACATTCGTATCTCAAGTAACCATTGTAACCAAACCATCTCATAGGAGTAGAAGTTATAACATGATATTCTACCTCATCTAGAAACATCTTTTTTTTTTTCGCTCTCTCACAAAACTAGAGAGTTACCTTAAAAATATAGCATCCAGTTGTAGATTTATGATCATTAACATCATTGGCTCAATTAGCATCAAAATATGCACGCAACCGTAATGAAGAAGTAGATGGAAGCAAAATACATTGAAACTGAGTGCCCCGAGGATATCTAAAAATGTGTATGACAGTAACCCAATAAACAATTGTTGGAGAGGCAACAAACTGACTAACAATATGAACAAATGCAATATCAAGACGAGTAATGGTAAGATAAACCCTGCTGCCAACAATGGTATGAGACAAACTAGAATTTTGTAGAGGATTGTCAATATCACGCGTTAAGCTCGAGAGGAGTATTAACAATCTTATTACCAGAGATCCAAGCACGTTCAAATATATAAGTTATATACTTAGATTGAGATAGAAGATAGACTTTTGGTGAGCATGCAACTTCAGTACCAAAAAAGTAACTTAGGAGGTCCAAATCTTTCATTGCAAAACAATGAACTAGCTCGTTTTTAATCTCAAATATCATTGTCAGTGAAAATCATGTCATCAACATATAAATAAAGAAGAATATGACCAACATAAGTATGATGAAAAAGCAGAATCATTAGAGCTAGAAGAGAAGCCAAGATTAGTAATTACAGTTGAGAACTTTTCAAATCACGCCCTTGGTACTTCCTCGAAACCATAAAGAGCTTCTATAAGCTTGCAGACACGACCAAGTTTACGAGAAACACCTAGAGGAATCAAAATACCTCCTCATGAAGCTCACTATCTAGAAAAGCATTTTTAACATCCATCTAAAATATATATCATCGTCGAATAGACACAACTACAATGAGTGTACCTATTATAGTCATTTAAAGTCTCCTCATAATTCTTGTCATACTCTTGAGAATATCTAGTCACTAACCAAACTTTATATCGTTCAACAGATCCATATGACTTAGTTTCGAAACAATTACTTTCTTACCTAATGGTAGAGGAACTGAGCCCCAAGTTTACATGATATAAAATTGCAAAGAGTGAGGATTTTTATTTAGGTACATAATAGATTTAAAAGATTTCCTAAAGTTTTAGTAGGTGGATGGATACCAAAGAGGAAAATAGTTTTAATACATTTTTTTATGGAAACAATTTCATTAATAATATGAGATATTACAAAATGTAAACTCATCTAAAGGATTACCAAAAAAAACTTCTCCAATTACATTCGAGAGAAGTTAAGTTATAATTACAAAAGGGAGACTTACTTTTGAACCAATATAAAGAGCAAAAAAAAAAAAAGGATTACATCGAAAAGGCCTTCCGAGGACTTTTCTTCGTCTTGAAAAATCCTGCATGAGAGCTCTAGTTAATTTAACCATAACGTCTTCTTTTCCTTCTCAAAGGGATGATCTTTGATAGTAAGCAACAACCAATCATGGATGTGGGACGACCAAGTAATGGACCAATTGAAACCACTCACAGATTTCCTCCTATTTTCAGGTTTCTTCGAGGATTTAAAGCCTAGTGATTATTACGAAAATCCATGTCAGCAACGGAAGCTTCACCTAATAATACATGAATATGCATGTTTTTAATTACTATATTTCCTTATTTATGGACCTTCTAGTTTCGTTTAAGAGATGAATCAAACCAACCTTGGAATTTTTAAAAACTAAAGGCAAATAGAAAGTTAACATACAAGCACCTTTTGAAGTTATGGACCAGAAAAAACAGACAGATCAACAAAAGGTCACTCATGAAAAAAGAATAAATAAAAAAATAAATAACAGAAGACTAGAAAAAAAGTACTTGTTCCGCGCCCCAGGGTGCCAACGGTCATACCGGCTTCAGTGACCATCTCTCTCTAAAGAAAGGTTGGTTAGGTTTTCTCTCCTCCTTGCTAAATCTGAAATTGGTGAATTAGGATGTTGAATTCCATGAATTGTAGTCGTTGTGAAACTGTGGAGACTAAATTGTTACAAAATTTAAATTCTATGGACTAAATTGTTTCATACTAAGTTCTGGGACTAAATTGTTACAAATTTGAGAGTACAAGGACAAAATCGTTACAAACTAAAGTTCAGGACCTAAATCATTAGGTCAATGAAGGTCAAAAATGTTTTTTAACCTTTTAATACCTGAACTATAGAATGAGGGCTTATAGGTATAAACAAAATGAGAAATATCTTACATTGGTTTTTGACTAATCAGGCAAATCTGCAACATTCCTTCTTCTAAGGAGATTATCGAGTTGGGAAAAATATGTTGACAAGAATGCGGGAGCATGGTCCACTTGAACTTCCTCCCATGGGGGATTGATACGAATTAAGTTCCCAACTTCAAGTTCAACATTTCTGCAAACTCTTGGACTGAAAATAATTGTCCTATTTTCACCTTCAGTTGCAATGCCTTTGTCACCATTGTGCAATGTAGAGCGTCCCATGTCTATAAAGAGCTAAGAAAATATTGTTAACTTTGCATCCAAGTATCTCGACAGGATTTTTACATCAATGCAGCCATTTGAAACTGTACTGCAATGTAACCCATTCAAGAAATTCGTCTCTCTTTCTTTTTCGCTTTGCATGACTCGCTGCAACTTTCCAAACAAGCCAATTCCTAATGGATTCGAAACCAAGCCAAGATTCCTTTCAGCATCCATGCAAGCAGCAAATAAAGCTTCCTCAAATCTATCTGTAAGCGATTGCTCCTTCATATAGGGCCCAGCAAGCTTCAACTTCTGATCATTAACCTTACCACTTGATGATCCGGTATCCACCAAAGTATGGGAGTCTTCACTGTCAGAACGTGTATCTCCAAGTGCAACAAGAGCTCCCTTCTCAACAATTGGGTGCATTCTCCCTCTAACTTGGCTACACAATTTGGGACATCCACCCTGCAGGCCAGTCTTATCTTTAAGGCCATCTAAAAGTTCAGCAATCAAACTCTCATTGTTTCCAAAGTTCTCTGCAGGCCTGACGTCAATATGCTCTTCAAATTCTTCCAAAAAATCTTCAAGACACTCTGCAGCTGGATCGTTCTCAGTTCTAGATAGAATGGCATCTAAGTTGTCAGATAAATTATGTACCTTGGATGGTACACAGAGTGTATCATCATGAATAACAGTGCATGATAATTTTTTCCTCTGTGAATGGAACGTAAATTTAGGCTTGGAGGCCTCTCTGATTCCTTTGAGCCTTTTCAATCTTAAATTGAGCTGAAGTTCTTCCTTTCCTCTGTTGCTCCTTCATTTGAAACGTAATCTTCGTCCTCGGAGATATCATAATCAGAGTCAGCATTTGCCTGCATTCTCTTCCAAAACAACCGGAAAATGGCGTTCACAACCGGAAGAATGAACAAACAAGAAATTTTGACGATGAAGGAGATAGAAAGGCAGTGGATTGGAGCTTATCGGAGTGTTTCAGACGAGAATTTTCCCGGTAAAGGGTTTTCTTGCTAAAACAGGTTGGCGTGACTTTATTTTTAAAACAGTACAAAATTTTGGAAAATTTCTGACTGAGTTTGGTTGGTCATTGTGAAACTGAAAACAGGCTTTTTCTATTAGTTCAGAAGCTAGTTCAAACGGCAACATGATCAAGGTGGAGGAGAAAACAAGAAATCTTATTTTTCTAATCAGTATGCTACAGATCAACTGCTCCCGATAGAAGAAATATTTGTGGAAACTCTTCAGAGCATCTGAACTATAAATTCTTTAAAAGAATAGATTTTCATATGGAACATGCTGGATGCAAAAAGATTCAAATCATCATGGCTGGTTCGATGAACTACAATGGGGGAATAAGGGAAGGTAAAAGTATTTTGGGAAATGATAAGAAGTGGTTTTTGAAAGCAAAGTGATCGAAAGATGTGGGTAAGGGGAAGAAAGAAGAAAGGCCGTCACTGAAGTTTTCCCATCAAAAGGAAAAAGATCCTTCATCTTGTTCGTCAATGGGAAAAATGGAACCTGAAAAAGTGTAGAAATAAAGTATTTTGTCAAAAAAAATAATAATAAAGACTCCAAAACAAAGGAAAGAAAGGTAGACCTGAAGGAGAAGCAGGACAATTTGGATTGTAATGAAATTCATTGGAAATGGACCATAGTGATTACAAGATTCCATTCCATGATAATTGGTCTAACATCTAGAAAATTTGGAAAGAACAATTATGGAGGATTGTATGTTTTATCCTATCTACATAAAGGTTCAAAGCCAGTCTTGTATGCAAGAAAAAGGGACAGACGATGTTGGGGGCCTTCTCTTTTTAAGTTTGTGAAACCTTATTCTCAGAAACAAGGGGGGTGGATCAAACTCAGAGATGTCCCCTTGACATTGTAGAGAGAATTTTTTAAGCAATTGGAGATAATTGTGGAGGATTTTTCTGCGTGCCTTGAAGACCTAATACGTTGGATTTCCTGGAAGCAGGTATAAAAACAAGGAGAATTTGTTGCAGTTTTATTCCAGTTGAAAAATAAAAAATTCATTACTTAGTGATAAATGTAACCAATCTAAGTTAACTAACAATCAGTGATCACAATCAAGTTGGATGAAAAAATAATTGAAAGCAAATTGAAACGAATGAGGATATTGTGATTAATATATCCAAGAATCCAAAAGTAGAATGGAAACAATCATGACTATAACAAAATACACTGGCAAAGAAGCCAAGAATTGCCATATTTCTAATAAATAATTCAAATTTACTAGGAGGGCATGCAAAATTCTATCAGCTGCTCATGATGTTTGAACCATTTCAAAAATTAGTAGGTATACCAGAAACATATTAACTGATATAGGGATCTTTTCATGGAGACAATGGCTGTTAAAATTTCAAAGGCAATAAAAATAAGGCAGTAACTAAAAGATCTTGACTTTTGAGACATACCTTTGGAACTGACGATGAGTGGAGACATGAAACCTTCCAACGCTTCCAAAATGAAAAAGAAAACACACCTAGAAAATTATAGTCAGTCATTAACTAGTTATCTTCACATTCAATATTATTTCTTAAAGAATGTATCTTGCATAAAACGTAGAAGTGAGACAAAATACCTAATAATCATGCTTTCTTTTGAGGACAATACAGGAGTGTGAGCCTGCCTACTTAGAAACTAAAATCTCTACTAAAAGTACTATCTCCTTTGAACTTTCCATTGACAAGAATATCATAGGTAGTGTTATCAGGAACAAGACCTCTAGCAAGCATCTCATCATGCAACCTAAAAGCCTCTTGCAAATTCCCTTCCTTAAAGTGTCCAGCTATTAATGTGTTATAAATGAGAACACTAGGAATCACGTTTCTGCCATTCATCTCTTCCAAAATCTTGCGTGCATTCTCTAATTGTCCTTTGTTACAGAGACCACTTATTAGAACCGTATGTGTGTGATCATCAGGCAAAATACCCTGGGAAAGCATTTCAGAGTAGAGATCTGATGCATGGAGAAGTTTTCCTTCTTTCAGCAGTCCGTCAATCAATGAGGTATATGTTTGCAAATCACATGGAATGCCCTCATCTACCATAGCCTTATATAAGTCAATCGCTGCTTCCATGTTGTTCAGATTCTTAAACCCAGCAATCATGCTATTGTAAATGATAACATTTGGAGATAAACCAACTCCAAGAAGTTCATTAAAAAGTTCACTTGCATTTCTCATGTCCCTTCTTTTGCAAAAACTGTCAATGAGCATGCCGTATGCTGTAATGTCCATTTCAAGACCTTTCCTTCTCATAACGTTCAGCAACTTTAAAGCAAGATCTATATTATTACTTTTACAAAATCCATCAATCAAGGACGTGTAGGTAACTATACTAGGAGAAATTCCAATCTCACACATTTCCCTATAAACATTCAAGGCCAAGTTAATGTCACCTTCCTTGATGAAACCATCAATAATAGTATTGTAAGCCATACACGATGGAACCAAACCTTGAGAAACAAACTTATTGAACATATCCCTTCCCTCAGAAGTACGACCACCTTTGCACAAACCTTTGATAATAATGCCTAATGTGATGTCAGTGGGGAGAATATTAGCATCCATCATCATGTGAAATATACCAAAGGCATTCTCAATATCACCTTTCTTGAAATAACCATCCATTAGAATAGAAAAGGTAACTACATTCGGTGTAAAACAATTATCTAGCATCTCCTTGTACACCTTACATGCTGCATTAATATTTCCATTTTTACAGTGACCGAGTATCATGTTGTTGTAAGAAACTGCATTAGGACTAATTCCCTTAACAATCATCTCATCCCATAAATTGCAAGCTTCATTGACCCTACCCTCCTTACAAAGCCATGACAATAAATTATTAAACGAGAACACGTTTGCAAGACCACACTCAACTGCATCATCAAACATCTTGAATGCATTTTGCAATGACTGACATTTCAAATACCCTTGTATCATAGAATTCAAAGAATAAACGCTTGGCCGAATGCCCTTGGTTTTCATCTCAGTGTAAAACTCATATGCCTTCTCCATATTCCCATTCTTACAGCAACCATCAATCAAAACTGCGTATGTAACTTTGTTGGGCACCATATCATTCTTCATAATTTCATTCACAAGATCTAAAGCACTGCTCAGGTCTCCTAGCATGCAATAACCCTTCATTAAACTTGTTGCAACAACCAAATTCATAGACTTCCCACAATTAACCATCTCATCTTTCAGCCATAGAGCCTCTACCATATTCCCTTCCTTCACACAAGCAGTAATAACACTTGTAAATGTGCCCTCCGAAGGAACCCAACCTGTTGCTCTCATCTCTCTCAACAAAGATGAAGCATATCCAGAATTTGGTTTCATACAAATTACATGGATCAAAGTATTATATGCTTCGGCATCAAGTTTAACTCCACTTGCTTTTGCTTCTACAAATTGCTGCTCTGCCTCCAAAATATTCCCTTCCTTCAAACAAGCACGCATCATAACATGCAAGGTAAAACAATCACTTGCAACTCCTTTCAGCAACATTTTTTTATGTAACTCCCGTGCTTCATAAATCATGTTTTTCCTAACCATAGCAGTCAAAAGAATATTCATATACTGAACTGATGGCGCTATATCAAATTCTACCATTTTATTAAAATTGTGAAGAGCTTCTTCAAGTTTGTCAGCTCTAACGTAACTATTCAACAAATAATTAAAAACCTGAATATCTAATGGAAAACTGTACAGTTTCATGCATTCCACTAAATGTTCCACTAGACAACTAGAGGGGACAAAATTTCCTGAAACAAATTGGTTAAGCAAATTCTGAGCTATTCTATGTGTCTTTGCCGAATTCATCAGAATGAGAAGCAACACACAAACAACATCAGTGCTCTTGATGAAACCTCTCTTCCGCTCAATCCTTTTGAAGTGCTCCCATGCTGATTTTGGATCACTTTTGTTGCCTAGGAGAGTGTTGATCACATGATTTTCAGTTAAAGCTGCATTAAGCGAGAAATTGCATTTGGTGTTAATGGACTCTGAAAAAACCAAGTTGCTCTGACAAGCCACTTCAGAAGAGGTTTCCATTGAAGCATCAATACTTTGCTTGATATGCACGGAAGATGGTGACGATAGGATAGTCTTTCCCGAAAATTCTGATTGTGAACCAAAAGATCTTTTTTTAAAGAGGGAGCGGAGAAGGAAGAAAGAATTTGGTAAAGATTGATTTCTCATTGTCTCTTTCTTGAAAAAAAGTACCTAAAACAACAAAAAAAAATACTTAGAACGAGAAAATTGAAAAAGCCCTGAGTTTAAAATGAGAAGAAATGTGAAATTTAACAAGATAAAGAAGAGTTGAGATTATCTAAATTAAAAAAAAAAAAAAAAAAAACATGATTAATTTTGATGGTCGGAGACAAGACAAATCTCCTTCGAGTGAATAAAAGTTTATATTTGAAAACACTTTTACCTCGGAGGATTCAAGAGTCAAGATAGTTGACAAAGAAAAGAGAATACAATATTTTTGTTGCTGCAAGAGTAGAATATATCTGGGGAAGAGAACCTCAAACCTTTTGAACTTATTACTCAATCAGGTAGAGACTAATCTCCTGGATGAAGACTCTACATTTACAACAAAACGTAGTAAAGTCCTATATTATAACAATTCCATAAAACAACTAGTAACGAACAATAAGAAAGAACAATATTTCCATACAGGAAACTGATGGGAAGTGATCACAAGTAACAAGTTGGAATCGAAAATTAAGGGTGTGTTTAGTTGGTGATAAGAAAACATAAATCTAAAAACAAGGGATTCAATGAAAAATATAATTGTATTATTTGTTTTCAGTGTTTCTGATATATGTTTAGCAACAAATTTGAAAATTGAATCTCAATTTAAAAAATTGTTCAATGTGTATTTGAACAATATATTTGTAAACTAGCAGTAGTTATCAACTACATATTTAGTTTAATCTAAAATAATATTAATTAATATATTAACATTTTTGTTATAAATTTTGTATAATTATTATTTTACATTGTTGTATAATTTATAATTATATTATATTTTACATTTTTTAATTTTAACAAAAATGAAATAAGTTTATACATAAAATAATATATTTATCAAAGTTTCTATCTTTTTTTCTTTTCTCAATGTAATTCTGCATTTTAAAATTTCAATTTCAAAATCTAAAAACACTGAAAATAAAAAAATATTGTTTTCAAAATTTCTTTTGATCACAAAATCTCAAAACAGTTTTCAAAAACAAATTTGGCAAAAGACTGTCAAACGTATATTCGCTGAAGCTATTTGGTTTAGTGAATCTGAAAACAAAAAACAAAATCTAGATTGCCAACCAAACAGGACCTAAGCTATTTAGGCACCATTTGATAACTATTTCGATTTCAATTTTTGGTTTTTTATTTTTCATTTTGAAAAAATGTTTCTTTTTCAAAATCCTACTTTTTCTTTCTTGACTCTCTGTAGATAATCCTCTCCTAACATTGACTCTCATATCTCTCCCTAACTTACCTTTTATCTCTAGTTTATCTCTCCTTTAATATATCCTCTCTCTTATCCCGCTTTGTAACTTATCTTCCTCACTTTGAAATTTCGCTCAGCATAACTCGTCTTTTCCTCCTTATAACTTACTTTCTCTGAAATTTTTCTTAATCTAAAACTTTTTCCTCTTTTAACATTTTTTTTTATAAGAAACTACGCTTTCATCGAGAAAAATGAAAAGAAATACAAGAAGTACAAAAAGGACCTACGAAAAGACAGCCCTAAAAAAAGGAAACCCCCTAAAGAAAAGGACTTCAATCCAAAAGAATGATTCCTAACGGATAATTACAAAAAGGCCTTAGAAACCGAGCCCCATAACGAAGTATTAAATCTAATGAGTTCCCATACATAGTCCACAAATTTCTCCACCCCCTCAACAATCTATGATTTCTCTCCAGCCAAATACCCCATAAAGTAGCCAAAAAAACAAGCTTGCCACAAAAAACGACCCCTATCACAAAAAGGAGGGTATAACAGCACCTCCTCCATCATCGCCCTACAATCCCTTGCACGAACCCAAGTCATCCCAAAACACCTAAAGAAACGAAGCCATAAATCCTACACAAACTACAAGTCCACAACAAATGCTCGAGGTCTTCCGAGGCTCTCCTATCGAGAACACACCACTACGGGCCCAGACAAAAGGAAGACATCCTCTGGATACGATCCAAGGTATTAACTTTTCCAAGAGAAACAGGAAAGGGGACAGAGGATCACCTTGTCGAAAGCCTCTCGAGGCAAGAATTTTTCCCCTAGGTCTCCCATTCACAAGGATAGGGTAATTAACGGACCTAATACAACTCCACATCCAAGCTCTCCATTTGAGACCAAAAACTTTCTTCCACATAACCTTATCTAAAAAGTCCCAATCTCGTGATCGTAAGCCTTTTCGAAATCAATCTTAAAAACCACACCCTCCTTTTTGCTCTTTCTGTAATCCTCAATCGCCTCATTAGCTATCAACACTTGATCCAAAATTTGCAAAAAGTCCCTCTCTCTAAATTCTCTTTCTATATATATGAGATCAAAGAGGGCAATTGTATTTTCACTTACAATATTCTTGTGTCACCTACAAAGATAAGTTTGTCTTTTCGTTATAAGCCAACAAATTAATCTCTCTCAAATTTCACAAAGTTTGAAATGGGGGTGGCTTAGGAAGATTTCATGGCCTCATTGTTCACCAAGTTCAAACCTGAGGCTTAACAACTCTGCAGCATACTCCTATTGTTGTTTTACTTTTCCCATTCAATTCTAATTTGGAAATTTGGGCAGGATAAGGGTGTGGCCACGCCAATTGGTTAAATTGGAACATGGCAGGGTAGTTTAAGTATATGTATCTCTTTATATTTGACATATTATTAATTTATGCATCTCAAAGAAATTGTATTTCGTAAAAAATATACTAAATTGGATATTTACCCTCATAAATACAGCAAACATAGAACTACCGTGGGATGGCCCAAGTGGTCAATGAGGGCCAATGTAAATAGAAAGAACTTAGAGGGAATGAGTTCAAACCATGGTGGCCACCTACCTAGGATTTAATATCCTAAAAGTTTCCTTGTCAACCAAATGTAGTAGGGTCAGGCGGTTGGCCCGTGAATAGTCGAGGTGCGCGCAAGCTGACCTGGACACACGGATATCCAAAAAAAAAAACAGCAAACATGGACTAGAAAATGCCCTCTAGTTAAAAGCATCTTTAGTCAGTGTTGTCAACCTATTGGTGCATGCTAAGAAATCCCAACGACGAAACTAGTAGCTTTTTCAGACACCACAAGGGGATACAATATAATTTATTTGCTTACTAGTAAGCCCAAATAATACTGGAGTAAAAAAATGAAAGACTTAATTCTCGCCATGCCCTTTATTCCTCTTTCCTCAACTTCCACTTACTTCCTCGGTAAAAAATTGAAATTGTAAAGTGCCGAAAAAATTGAACTTTGTAAATTTCATTAATTATCGATGTGGTGTACGTTAATTAACATAACAATCGGATCATACATACATAACTATTAAAATGGCTCCAAGGCTTATAACATGAATATTTCATAGGATTTATTTAATGTCAGATAAATAAGGCAAAGAAAATTATTCAAAACTTACAAGGAAATTCTCTTCTAGGAGTATTGCTTCAAAACCAAGCTTAAAAAATCAACCTCAAAATTAGAACAGCAGCCTGAAATTGGAATAATAAGACACTTTTTAAAGAGATGGGATAGAAAAAGGTCAAGGGAGAAGATAACTGCAACTTGTTGGAGCCAACATACAGAATTCCAAGAGAGAGATCACTGCCAAGGTCAGCTGGTAGTGGTCCATAGACGTTGTTGTATACCAAATGTAACACCTCAAACTCTTCAAGTCCTCCTATTTCTTCAAGGAATTTTTGCATGGAATTCTTTTGCAAAATACTGCAAGACAAGGTGGAAGTTGAAGGTAAAAATAAGGACTAACTGTCCAACAATGCCCTCCGGATGTTTTTTGCAAGTGAAACCCTAGTATCACTAAATTAGTGAAATGTACAGGAAAGGAATGAATAAAACTACATGAACTACATGAACTACATGAACTTTCCAATCTATCATGCACGTATAGGATTACTACTGTAACATAAACCTTTCTTTATAAGAGACAATCTCATTGATTGTATGAAATTACAAACGGAGGAGAAAACTCCAATCCAAGGTAGTTACAAAAACTTCTCCAATGGGATAATAGAAAATCAATGTTATAATAGTGAAAAAGAGGTGACATTTACAACAACCGATAAAACTAGCATCAAAACATAAATTGGGTAATAAATTATTGTAAACATTAGAAATTAAAAAGAAATATATATATACACGAATATGGAATGACTTCACTGACGCAACCAATCAAAACATATATTAAATTTAGTACCTGAATCAGAAGAGAGATGTGTAACAAAGATTCAGTCAAACAAAAATGGTACATTCAAATCAAAATCATACATAATCAACACTATTTCTTCACTTTTATGCAACCCATTCTTACGCATAAACAGGTACTAGAGAGATAGAAAGCCAATAAAATCAAAGTTTTCAAGTAAACCTCCATGCTCAGGCTAGCACAAAATGTCCATCAGCCATGAACAAAACAGCGAATATAACCATGAAATCGTCTTCACGTGCTCAGGCTAGAAGAAAGTAGACTGGAACTGTGCAAATGAGAGACTGAACAGAACAAAAAAAATATATCGTGATTGCAGTGATCTTAACTCAGCAGAATCGTCAGAAAAACGCACACGCACACAAATTTAGTGAAGAAGAAACCTTGAAGCAGCAGAGTGAGTGAGATTGAATGGGAGGAAAGGAACGGCGATTCTCGGGCGCGCACTTGACAATCCCACGATCACAGAGAGATTCAGGTTCGGGGAAAATTGACACATATGACTTGAAAAGTTTTAGGTTTTGTGGAAATGACCTACACATCATAAATTTTACTTTTTCTAACGTAAGAGAAGTTTGTCTGACACATCCAAACCGGTGAAAAGATGAAACTGCCCTTAATTTATATGAAAAAGTTCAAACTTTTGGATACCAAAATATGGATAAAACTCGACCTACATTGTAACCACTCGACCTAGTTTTTAAATAATTTTGACCAACTCCAATTAATTATCACCAACTTTTTGTACCAGCATTAATTTCATTCCATACATTTCGCATGTCTCTTTACATGGCAGAGAACAAAATGTTCTTAGAGCACGAAAATCTCCATGTCTTCCACGTTTTTGTAACCCTCGAAGAAATTCATTTTTACAACGTGTAGATTCTTTGAGCGGTGAACTCGGAGAATCATATTTTGAAGGTTGATTACATTTCATTTTCTCATCTTCATTATTTTGAAGGAGGTTAGTTTGTTATTTTTTTTAGTATCAGTTGTATTTTTTAAGTTGAAAGGGATTCTAAACTAGGCCGATAGCATAAATTTTAACTTTTTACTTCAGTTTTGATTCAATCTCGGGTGAGTTGCATATCAAACTCGAGGGAGTCGCTTAAACCCAGTCGAGTTTTATAAATCTCAGCCAAGACATTTTTTTGAAGTCTGTTGCATATGAAATTCAAGGGAGTTGCTTAACAATCCAATCGATTTTTGTAAATTTTCAAAATCCCGGTCGAGATTTTGTATAACCCAATCGAGAAATTTTTTCCTAAACCAAACACACTTCATGGAAGAATATATTCGAAGTCACGGACATGGATGCTKAAAATTTTAGAGTAACATCTGAAAATATTTTCAAGAACCATACGAATACTCTAGAATTATCTCAATCTTCATTAATTGGTMTGTCACCTTCTGCAATATAATTTCGGTCATGATCCTCTAATCTTTCAAAAGTCTTYTGGAACTTAATTGCTYCATCCAACATAGTGAAGGTTGAATTCCATCGTGTTGGGACATCCATACTCTTTGTTGAAATGCTATCTTCTTTAGCAAAATCTTTAAATATTTGCAATCTTGTAAGAGATGACCTAACATACTTTACAGCATTTTAAATACGAATGATAGATACATACAAATTCTTTAAAGCATCACCAACAATCAAATTTAAAATATGAGTACAACATCGAACGTGGAGAAATTCATCATCTAACACCAACACGTTTCTCTCATTAAGCTTTCTAGTCAAATATGTCATTGCTCCACCATTTGAGCTAGCATTATCAACCGTCACAGTAAAAATTTTGTCAATGTCCCAACTTTACAAGCATTTTTCAATTGCTCTTCCTATGGTATCTCCTTTGTGATTAGCTATTTGACAAAAGTTTAAAATTCTTTTGTGTAAGTTCCAATCACCATCAATGAAATGAGCTGTTATGACCATATAATTAATATTTTGGACTGAAGTCCAAGTATCAGTCGTTAAACAAACTCGTTGACCACTTC